ACCAATTGTCTTCAGTGAGCTGATATCTCACGACCAGTGACCAGTGGAGTTCAAACCACGTCTGTCGTGAGATATCAACTCACTGAAGACAATTGGTTGCTCAACTTCGTGAATTGGTTGAAGTTAGACATTAACACCGTTGGATTCCGGCTCAGTGATCTATCGGTTAAGAGCTCTGGCTCGAGACCGGTAGGTCCTGGGTTCGAATCTCGCGAGTGCAGGATCGTGGATGCGCACTATTGAGGAGTCCCACGGCCGTCCAGTGTTTCCAGGTTTCCCATGGTGGTCTAGCTTCAATTGACTCAGGCTTTCAACTATGGAAATTAACAAATTGTAGGAGAACAGCCAAATCGGAGGTCATTGAAATAAGAATTTGGCGATAGAAACAAATTCTGAAGTTAGTATCTCACTTAATCCTCCCCTACCAACATCACATCAGTGATTGAGGTTATATAATGTGTTCCATACTGTTTTATTTTGAAAAATGTTCGTACCTAGATTTGTTTACTATATATGAACATTGATGAATCCTAAATCTATTTAAATGCTTTTGATTGAGAGAAATTATAAATAGATAGGATGAAACGTTATTGATTACGAAACTTGATAAAGGATCAGAAGTAGTTCTTAATAAAAGTGATTATATTGACAAAATAGGTACCATCATAGGTGACAAATTAAAATTTCAAAAACTATCTGACTAGATAGATCTGAATTCTAAGATAGAAAATGACTTAAACTGATCTTTGAAGAAGTTTGGAGACCAAAATATAATGTCATCAAAATTATGAGAAATAAACTAGTGGGAACTCATTTATGAAGACTGTAGGGATTACCGAAGTTTAACCAACCGGGAATCCCATTGAAATCAATTTTAGATATGTATGACTCACTACATTATATTATAGCTAGGGGATCAGTAACTATATTGAAACCATTCCATAAAAAACTTGAAAAGGATAGTGCTAAGAGTGCATTCCGATTTGTTGATAAAATCGAAAATACAATTACTATGGAACAAATGACAACATTTTAGGATGTAACATCATTATTCATAAATTGTTCACTCATGGAGGCTGTAGATTATAAATCTGAATAACTTAAAGAAAACGAAATGGAAACTACGCTTCTGGTAGATGTCGTAAGACAGTTACCACTGAAATGCACTATGAATGTGAATTTCAAGTTTAGCGGAGAAAGATACATACAAATGGACGGAGTTGCAATGGGTTCACATTGAGTTCCATAATAACCGATATTTTTCTAGCTCAACTAGAGAATGGTCTGCTTAGTAAGTTTATTCAAAAATCCATATTTTACTGTCGATATATAGATGATACTTTCACTTTCTGTAAACATAGTACGTTACAATTAGAGGCTCTCAACCGGTTTCATGTACTACACCTAGCCATTAAGTTTATATCTAAAGAAGAAACTAAATTAAGAATAGCTTTTTTGGACGTCTTAATAATAAAAAGAGCTGATGGATAAATAATACGGAATTTAAGCAGAAAGAGTACCTGGATAGATCAGTACACACATATCCTTAGCTTAGTACTCCTACGGTACAAGAGAAACTTGCTTGAAACTTATCGAATACGTACTATTTGTTATATGGAGGTAATTAAAGAATAAATAGACGCCTTGCGTAATACACTTAGGGGAAACGGATACCCTACAAATATACGATACCGAAGGTTAGAATAGGAGAAATACAAACAGCAGATTAGAAATCCCTGATCACTTACAATTCAGCGAGGATGAAGCCAGTGAAATATTAATCCAGAGATTACGCAGAACAATAAAAAGAACAGTTAAAGCCAGAAAACTAAAACTAGTGTTTTCTACACGCTCACTGGGGACACCTGAGATCAAAAGTCGAATCATGCAGAATGATAACCTCGTTTTGTATTTGTCGACTCGGATACTCTAGTGGAGCAAGTTATATTTATCGAAGTTCTAGGAATGTATATTTTCATGCCCGTGAACACCTCTCTGTGTGACTAAACAAAAATGTAGCTCAGACAGTAAACAGCTCAATACTGTCCCATTTAGTGCAAACTGGTTATAGCGCCAGTATAAGCCAATCCTTCCCAGTAATTTAACGTTGATTGGTTAAAGTTAGAAATTACCACTGTTGCATACGGGCTGATTGGTCTAGAGGTTAAGCGTTCGTGCGTGACAGAAGTTCTTGGGTTAGAATCCCGAGTCCAGGATCATTAGAGCCCACTGTTGTGGAATCCCACACTAAGACAAAACGGACGTCCAGTCCTATCTAGTCCCCTATAGTGGTCTAACATTGATCAGTCCATGATTTTCGTGACCCATGTACATTTTAATCAATAATCTCACAATTTCATTTAACGTATTGATTTATTCAAGTCAGCACTTCACATTACCCATCCCGTCATTAACGATTTTATTTTATATTAGAATCCTATATTCACATGCCATAGTTTTAAACGATGTACTTTGCTACAAATCTGGTCACTTCTTGGATTATTAATTTGTAATTGAAGAGAATTTATCTAAAAGATTTTCCTTCGTTCATATATTATTATTTTAATATTGTCAAGGTCTGGTTCTGTTACTTTATCTGGTAGTCAGTTCAAATATTTTGTCCACCTATTTTAAATCAACCATTGGAATTAACTTTCTAATTTAAAGTCTGTTTTAACAAAATCAGAATGCTGGCAAATTTAAATATGGTGAATACATACTTTCGTAAAATCCCTACAACCTATTAAATTCACTTAGTATTGTTTGTTTGAATCTTCCCATAGATGTGTTAGGACTGCAACTGGTCAGTCTCTAATTGGCATATGTGCATACTGTGCGTATTGCCTCAATATAGCCATAATTCACAAGCATGGTAAGCAGAGATGGATAGTGGCTAGCAGTGGAATCCAGTTTGATGCGCGTTTCGTCCTATTTGGGACTCGTCAGCTGGATATCAGTGCATCTCAGAGTTCACTCCGGGACTCGAACCCAGTACCCTCGCTTCAAACTCTGAGATGCAGGTACATCCAAATGACGAGTCCCAAATAGGACGAAACGGGCGTCCTGGATTCCACTGCTAGCCACTATCCATCTCTGCTTACCTACAACCTATCGTTATGTTAAATACTACAAGATACAAGCGGAAACACCATAGCGGTTGGTACATTTTCCTTAAAGTTTATTCTTAGGAGAAATGAGATAAGAATATATTAGACTTTCTTTTTAAAAAATATATTATTTAGTGAGGAAATGGTGAAAAAAAGATAGACACCTACCACTCGAATACATTTTAACATATTTCCTGTATAACTAAGAATAAGAAGTGCTATTTGCGATTATACTATATAACTTGTATTGGGAATTCTTCATTACTATCAAACATTGAGCATTAAAAAAAGGTAATCACTACAAAGCAGGTACTTGTGTGTGTATTTGTTCAAATGTGCAAGCAATTGACAAAATAGTTCAGATTCTTTCCGAATAATGACGGAATTTGGTGTGCTGAATATGATAGTCCATTTCTAAGATTTTATAGGAGTTAATGACTTTTCTCTCAAAATATTTTTGTCTGTGAAAGGAATTTATTAACATACCTCTAACTTGAAATATTCGATATCAGGTGAATGGAATTGTGTTGAGTTTGGTAAGCTGATAATGAGTCTTCAAAAAATAACGAGGTTCCAGAGGCCACTCTACTGTTACAGCTTGCATTATTTTTTTATAAACAAATACTTTAATTTACACAGAATCTGTCCTCACTATCTGAAGGCGACCTCAAAATCACAAGATCATTTCAATATGTTTTAACAAATGACATTACAATATACCATTCGATGTCTGATCATTCTAAACGGTTCAAAGTGATTGCTTCAATTTTGACTAGTTTAAAATTTCTTTTTATTGTTTGCACAACTACTAGTGGTGATGAAGTTTCGTGGTTTGAAAACGAGAAACTCATTGTTTGAATATTACTCAAAGAATAGAAAAAATAAATCGCATAGCCTTTTTTTTATGACTTCTCGACCACTTTACTCAGTCCGTCCTCGTCAAAGTGATAAAGAGTTTTATTGTTTTATGTGACAAGTACTTGAAAAAAATTGTGTAGAAATACCATGTGAAACCAAATATTATACGAAGTTGTATCGTCTCTGTCTTTGTTTACTCTATGGAGTTCATGTTCTGTATGAATAGATAGACAACCTTTTCCATTACTAAGAATGATTCTTGATTGTTTATCAGAATAAATGATGTATAACGATGTCATACAGTAACACAGAACAAACTGTCAAATTTGAGTATATATTATATCTTTATGATACAGTTGTTGCACCAATCATACAAGCTTAAAAATAATAACCTACGTAAGTGTTGTTCAATGTGATGTACGAAAACATCCATGTAACAGTGGTCTGAATATAGTTAGTTCATGATTTTGACTAAACTACTCATACACTTTTATTTCTTACCTTAATTGTATGACTAATGGAAAATGATTTCATGGTTAATTATTAATTTCCAAATGAGAACCTGTATGTGGAGAAGTTCAGCAATGTCTGGAGTTAGACGCATATTATCACTGATCATCGGTGATAGTTGTGACTAGTCATAGATCACGACAAAGCATAGTATACATAGCAATGAAAATTATTACTCTACAGAAATGAGAATAATTCACAACTGTTACGAGTTGGATTATAGGTTACTAACGTCAGGATTAAACAATTTTTATAGATGCTGAATTTCTTTACAGTTTCACTTTACATTCACCTGGATGGTTCATTCTCCATTACTTCATACCATTTTATGAGTAAACTATAAACGTACTTCATTTGTCTAACCACTCCTTCAGAAAAAGTATTTTCCTTGTTTAGTGTTTTAAACTTGGTCTCATTTACAAACTTCAGATCAGTCAGAGAATCATTTAAACATATAAGTCACTCAATTCCTGTTTTATTTTAGTTTAAGACATATTATAAATGTGTATTAAAGAGCTGACATACACGAATGAAACTTCGAAACTTCATTCATTGCAGTGACAATGATACCATTAAACTGATGAGCCTCGGTCACTGTTATGTGAAGTGAAGAACCTATATTGCCAAGACCTTTCATGATACCATAGAAGAGATATCTAGTGATTGCTTGTTTATAATGATTCGCCAGCTCTGCATATATATTTTACAAAACAAATAATTGGTATTTCAATTTCATTTAACATTAATAGTAATTCTTATCTGCATGTAATACGGAATAAGTATGGATTAAAATGAAATGTCCAATAGTCCCAATTATCTCTGAACTAATATCATTTCAAGATTAAATTACTTCAAGTCACGTCCTCCACAGTTCGTCATTACAGTAAATGATGTTAATGAATATAATAGTTTGAGTAATAATGTCAAATTTTATATAAATGTGAACATACCGTTTAACCTGAAGATGATGAAATAGGGAAAAGAAAAAGATACAAAATATTTTATTTATACTTTTTTTTCTTAATATCCAAGGGAAATGTCGTTTACATTGTAAAAACAATCATATTGATGTAAATCAAAACAAAAAAACAAACTACATTCCATTGAATTTAGGAATTTGTTTGACTTAAAAACAAACTAGTTCTTATAATGAATTAGAGATTTTGTAGATATTTTCACAGTTGAAATCATGAGTCAATTGAAGCTAGACCACCATGGAAAACCTGGAAGCACTGGATGGCCGTTTCGTCCTATTATGGGACTCCTCAGCAGTAAGCACCCACGATCCCGCTCTCGCGAGATTCGAAACCAGGACCTACCAGTTTCGAGCCAGAGCCCTTAACCGATAGACCACTGAGATGGCCGACATCCAACGGTGTTAATGTCTAACTTCAACCGATCCACGAAATTGGGCAACCATTCACCAATGTCATCAGTGAGTTGATATCTCCTAATAGACCTGGATGAACTCCGCTGGTCACTGCTTCCTACTAGAACTCCAGGACATATCCTGAATTCCAATCTCGTGGGGCGGGATCGCGGATGGGCACTACTGAGGAGTCCCACAAAAGGACGAAACGACCGTCCAGTGCTTCCAGGTTTTCCATAGTGATCTTGCTTTGATTGATTCATGATTTCAACTATACAAAATATGTATGTAAATTTGTGTGAATAAAATTGTTACTAAGACATAGTAACGGTATTTGACCTTGAAATAAACAGTAATAAAAACAATATGAAAAAGTAAGATAATTAAACAAAAATGAAATGGATGAAAATTATTTACTACTAAAGTATTTATATGGATTACATGTACATAATCGATAAAATAAATAGAGAGAAACAATTTTAAAGATTCTAATATTGTTGCTATGTATATAATGGCTAAAAACTAATGTCACTATTATAGAATTCAGTCACTATTGAATTTTATTGTTTAAACAAAAGTTGAATCAAGTAATCACTTTTCATTATTATTGATTCATTTGAATTAGTCCGATTTAGAATTTTAGCTTTACTTATTATCCGGAAGGGAAGCAGAAAAGAGGATGGCCAAAGAACACATTACGCCGGGAAATAGAAACAGATATGAAAAGGATGAATAACAACTGAAGAGAACTGGCAAGGAAGGCTCAGGACAGAGTTGGATGGAAAATGCTAGTTAGCGGCCTATGCTCCTCGACGAGGGGTAACAGGCTTAAGTAAGTATTATTTATTAATGTTAACTAGGGTTTGTTTTATTCATTGAAATGATTCAACTTTAAGCCAGTATTTATCATGGACTGTCATCATCTTAGAAATTTAATGGAGATAAAAGCATTGAACAGTTGATCATTTATGACTGGTAAAGTTCAATAATGTTAAGAATGAGATATCAACTTCTCGAGAGCATTGTACATTCAATTGGTCATCGTTGATCCTTCACAGTGATACGAAGACAACATGGTTACTATACAAGCAGAGAAATTCCCAAATCGAATGAAACAACTATTCAATGCTTGTTGATTTTCATTTGTTCTCCAGTTGACATGATTTCACAATTGAAACTTTTAAATTCAGACGACTAAAACACAAAACTTGATGATAAGATTTGTATTTACCATACAACTTTGTAAATACTACTTTCATAGTTGAACGGCAATTGGTGAACGGTTGCTCAACTTCGTCGATTGGTTGAAGTTAGACATTAACACCGTTGGATGTCGGCCATCTCAGTGGTCTATCGGTTAAGGGCTCTGGCTCGAAACTGGTAGGTCCTGGTTTCGAATCTCGCGAGAGCGGGATCGTGGGTGCTTACTGCTGAGGAGTCCCATAATAGGACGAAACGGCCATCCAGTGCTTCCAGGTTTTCCATGGTGGTCTAGCTTCAAATGACTCATGATCTCAACTCTATAAAAAGAATCATCATCCCTAAGGTTTTGTATTCTTCTCATTGTTGATATTCAAGAATGGTTTCGATCTGTCACTTTGTTGGTATTTAGGTTTCTTGATTGAATCCCTCCGTATTGTTTGTAATACCAAGTTAATTATACTTAGAATATTGAGTAACAGTGACATCAGAGCTCTCTTATTTTTTTTATTTCGGACAAGCCACCTGGACTCACCTGGATCCCGATATTGACTTTATCACTAAGATTTGTACCCAGTACTTATATCTTCAAATTATCAAAGCGTTATCGACTAGGCTTGACAGCTTTCAGCTTAACCAATATGTATGACTTCAATAATGAATTGTAGAAACACCATACTTATTATAGTGAAGGAGAATGAAACCCATATCCTGGACTCCACCACATCTCAACAGCTAAAAATATATTAAGAGATATAAAACGTTCAGTCTTACAGTCACCATTGTTTATAATCGTTGGTATAATAAAGTTTTATATAGAAACTGGAATCACTACCTGAACAGATCATTAAACATAAGCAAAGATGGATAGTGGCTAGCAGTGGAATCCAAAACGCGCGTTTCGTCTCATTTGGGACTCGTCAGTTGGATGTACCTGCATCTCAGAGTTGATGTTCACTCTGGGACTCAAACTCAGTACCGTCCACTTCAAACACCATCATGTCATCCAGTTAGCTACTCAGTCCTGATAGCCTTTTGCTTGTGCGATGGGGTAAACTTTAAATTCACTTGGTATTGTTTGTTTCAATCTTCTCATTAATGTCTAGGACTGCAACTGGTTAGTCTCTAATTAGCATATGTGCATACTGTGCGTATTGCCTCGATACAGCCTTATTTCACAAGCATTATAAGCAAAGTTTGACTCACGTTTCGTCCTATTTGGGACTCATCAGCTGGAAGATTCAAACAATTTATATCAAGTTAAGTTAAGATCATTAAATAGTTTTCATATTCCAAATACTTTAATTTCTAGTAATAATAATGATAATAGTATGTTTTGTTGAATAGATTTTAATGAATTTACTCTTACTTGAGGACATGAGAAATTGATTATCAATTAAACTTATTAAATATATTTATTTATTCAAATGAATGTCATTAGTATCCAGGTTGGAATTTATTTTAAAAGAATCTTTCAATGAAAAAAAAATTCAAATGGTACTACTTTTCAAACTTTGACAATGGAAACAATGAATGTAAAACATTTTTTTTGGTTCATGATCATGTTGATCATCTTTTTCTTTCATGTGTATGTGTGTGTGTGTGCAATGGTGAAATGCGGGTTACAAGATTGACATGGATTTTTTTTTAAATTTATTTTCTTTTATTGTTTGAACCCGTAGAAAGTTAAATTAGATTTTATCAATGAAATATTAATCTATGATTGGAATGAATTACATTTTAGTCAATTGATAGATATGATATAGTTGTAAAATATGTAAACCATTGAATATATGTCTTGTACTTTAACTTAGAGATGATAGGATATAAACTAAGACTTATTAAATTTGAGGTTTTAATATTACTTTAATCTGATCTGAGATTGGCTGAGGTTATCTAAACTATATTGGATAACACATGAATGTTGGATAACTGTTAATTTTAAGTTTAAGTTCCTGACTTAGGTTGTAAATTAGATTGGTTTCTGATAGCATGACGTCTATGATGATGTGACTGAGTTAGTTTATAAGATTAAGAACAATAAACTGCATTGGATAATACTACATGATATCCCTTTTCGATTATCGACCTCAGGAATATCAGAAGATAACATTTCATCACAATTGATTGATCACTGGGTGGTGATCAATTTCATGTGTGTCAAGTCCTTCTTAGTGCTGATCGAATGCTATCGATCAAGTTACAATGTGGCCACCAGTCTAGATGGCTCGACACTGCGTGCACTATATACATTGAGATAAGATGGTGGTTGGAGGTGGTCAACAGGAAACCGAATAGCTCAGTGGTAACGTCTCTGACTGTGAAGCTTAGTGACACGGGATCGAATCCGTCAGGGAGCATCAGTTCCCTCAGGATTACAGGTACACCTTGCTGACGAGTGTCAAGTAGCACGAAACCCGGGTCCAGGGTTTCCTGTTGACCACTTCCAACCACCATCTTATCTCAATAACATTTCATCCACGAATGGAAAGAATTATCATTATATAGTATACCAAACTGTCGAATAAACACGCCAAAAATGAGGTAATGAAAACATTGTTCTACAAAATATAGAGTACACTAATTAGTCTACATCATCATATTAAAACTGATTCTCAATGGTGAAAATTTATTTGTCCTATCTTTATACTCGTCATTTAAAATATCCCTAGAAGTTCTTTGAATCTACATTCATAGTATACCTCGTGGTTTCAGGTTCGCTTCTCATAACCATTTTTGACTTTTGGTAATAAGAATAAGACCCAATAATTCAGTCTAAATAATCTGTAAACTTCATCAATCACGTAAAACCACTATAAGAATTTCATTACTAAACTCAAATAATACACATTTTAAACTGTTTTAAGACTAGTGAATAAACTGACACAGAGAAGGAATTCAACTATGATCATACAATTTTAGAACAATCAACTCATCAAACAAGTAGAAGAAATTCTTTGAGTTTATCTCAATAGTCCTTAATTACTACAATCTTCCGACATTTTTGTCTAATATGCTCAGTTCACAGATTTTTGTTCTAAGAAACGTTGTTTAAAATATATTTTTATGCTTAATTAAAGTATAAAAAATTGCAAAACAAATGTCAGTGTTGTATACCGTCTAGCGATTTTACATTCCTAATATTAAGAGCTGAAATTGATCGATCTCTGTTGACATATTTGCATTCTAAGTGGATGCCTTGATATTGCTATCTAGTTACAAGTATGCTTCATGAAAAGCTATTAACTTGTTCCCAACTAAAGGTTTTCATCAATATTGTTACAAGAGTCATCTTTGTGAGATACATCTAGTGTTTATTCTCCACTATTTACATATATACTGGTTACATTGGCACATTGGTCTAGTTTTAATTTGGCCTTACAAATATGTGTATGGCATTGTATATTCGAAGTGAACCAACTTTAAATTGAATCAACCTTCAGATATACAAATTGTAGTAGAGACAATGCAGACTTTAATACTCTTCAATGAACTATGTAAATGTAAATTTGAAGTTGAATTATGAAAAAAGTAAAATCGCTTGAAGAACTATTAAGACGTAAAAGCACTGAATACCTGTTTTTGATTTCTCTTTTCTTGCAAACTTTGTCAACAAACTTAGTGCAAACGGAAACCAAAGAACAATCGACAAAACTATCTTATCTTCAGTTGGAAGAATTTAGAATTTCCTATGCATGAATTAAAACAAGGTAGAGACAAGGTTTTATATCCTATAAGGGATAATAATTACGTGACACCACTTAGTTGTTATCAGCTGGCGTGGACCAAAAGCCAGTTACTTTTCAGGAAATCCTTAGTTCTTAGTGGCTGTTCGGGTAACTAAAGTCTATAATGACTTCACTAAAAGAAACAGATCTGTTTCTCTAGATGTGGGACAAAACTAACATATTTTGAACACTGATTAGCAGTGTACTCCATCAAACACGTTTCTACCTAGTCAGAACTCTTCAACTGAACGTACTTGAACTCTATGACAATAACGTTTCACGTTTTCTCGTTGTTAATATTCGGAAACAAACTGGTTAGTCTCTTTTGGAATATGAGCTTTTTCAAAAGGTCTCATAGTGATATCACAATCCACGAGTGAGTGTTAAGGGTTACAGGAGTTTATTTCACTTTTCATTTCTTATTGGATGGATGTATCGACATCGAATTATTGACTTTTCTACTGTTAACTACTGTTAAGAGTACAGACAATATCAAGGCACTCATTCGAGGGATGCATATAATCAACAGAAACTGGTCATTAATGTGAACGACTGGAAAATAAAAACTCAACCTATTGACAAAGTGTTTCATTACCGGTGAGCACAAGGTGACTACCATAACTCTTTGGTCTAGTGTACAATGTCTTCACATCTGAAGCAGTGGACAAGGAATATGAGTTTCTACTGTTTAACTTCAACGGTACGATATAGAATTTCCCCGATTATCATAATAATGTTTACCCCAAACCTCGCGAAATATATTGATACTCTAAAAAATTTAAAAGAACTCTTGTTAACTAACTTCAACTAACGTGAAACTTAGGTTCGGGGTTTGGATCTCATTAATTAACATAAAGTAAGAACTTGCTTTTCGCTAACCTTATATTCGAACAACTGATTTTTGTTGATCCATGAACCTCAGCAACATTGGGAGTCGTCGGGGACATTGTGCTAGTAAGTATGATTGAACAGTAACGAATGTGTTTTATTTATGAAGACTTTTTTTAATACCAGTTCGGTGTATTAGTAGTTCGCATCACCTAAAGACATTTTAAAAACCTTATTTTTATTTATGGTTAAAGCATAGAATACGAACTGGTGGATTCTAACACAGTGGTCCATAGCTAACGTCCTCAATCAGAGACACGAAGCTTATGAGTTCAGTCTTTTATGAAGTTGTAGGTTCTCAATGTTGAGAATCTTGGAACTAGAACATTATGACGGTTTAATGCTCAGTAATGTACTAAGAGGGGTATATTTATCAGTCAGAAACAACTCACAACCTGGGGGTACATATGCATCAATTCAAGTTTCCATACAAAAGAAAAAGAATCCCAGAATAGCAGATGAAGCAAAAGTATCAGTAATAGTAAAAAAGATTGATTAGAGAAAGAAGGAAAGGACTCTTACAAGGTTTCTTAACTCAGGAGCTAAAGTGAGATAAAAATTGAATGCAACTGCACCGTTCAGGCCGATCCTGAATCACGTTATTTAACGTCTTGATACATGAGTAGCGAAAATTGCGTTGATCCTAAGCAGGTAGTCGACAAACACATGCACAACTCAGTTCAACTAATAATAACTTAATTGACTGATGCCACGACATAGTTTGACACCACTAGCTTTCTACTAGCTTACTCTTATATCAGATAACACCGCTTTTCGAGGTAGACGGTGACTAAACATGCGTAATACATGTACCAACCACCTCAGGCGATAAACATTTACCATCTCACTAACTGATTAACCATCTTTTCCTAGTACCCAGTGTTTAACCTTAACATTGCTCACTCTGTGGTAGCCATTCAAGACCAACTACTAGAAACTTATGAATATGTTCTGCTGGTAAAGGCCACATATCACAGATACAAAGCAAAACAGTGAACTCCTTCTTAGTATACTCACTCTGTGGTTTACAAACTGATATTTCGCCGATGCCACAGGTTATCGAAATTCAATCCAGTTTTCTGAATCCGTGTTCAGATTTCATCAGACAATAATGCACCAGGACTGATAAAACTTTTCAAACAAACAGTCAACACGCTCAAATACTTCACCTCTTATCATTAGTTCAGGATTTAACGCAGACTAGTCTTGAAGGGTCATTTTTACTTAGAGGGGAAGAAATGCGTACTAAAAAATGCTTATTTTATTATTTAAGGTGAACAAAAGACTCAGTCTTCACCAAACAGGATTATGTCATTCGTGTATATATAAATTTCCTTTGATAATGGAATGTTTGTGAAATATAGTGTCGACCACAGGAATTATAATTATATAGCCCAGACACGAAACCTGCTTCTAACGAAGGAATCTCGCTTAGTGCCTTCAACTTATATTCACCACCTGTGGATACATCACTAAGTCGTATTTAAGTCTTCAAAGAATAGATGCTTCTTGTGTACTTTTAATGTCGAAATATAGTAAACACAGTGTTGAGCTCCTTAAACTGATGACCACAGTGTAAGCTAATTAGCAGAATTCGATTATTACTGATGACAATACATATATAACATTAAACACTAATAACATTTCAATCAATGTGAATGTTATTTTACATGATTTTCATTTAAGTGTATTGATTGTCACGTCATGAGTTAAGTAATTTACTTTACTTCAGCAGTCAACTAAACGTTAATGTGCTCTACGGTGAGCCATACTTCGGTTGCCTGGGGGAGGCTAATGATACTACCCGTCAATTGTCATGTTATTAGATGTTAGGTTCTCGATTGTTTATATTGACGAAAAAAAAACACAAGGATAATGGTAGACCATGTGATCATGAACACACAAATGCAAATTCTATAGTGTTTGTCTATCAATCGTGAAGGTATTAGTTAATGGCCTCTTCTTATAAAACTCTTTCTGAACAACTACAGTTTTATGTGAGTCATACAATAGGTTTCAGTGAATATATGTTTATGATCAGTATGAAACAACTTAGCATGTAGTAGAAAACTTTGCCACTGTTCAGGACTGTGACTAGCAGTAGAACCAATTATATGAGCTTCGAACTACTCGAAACTTGTCAATTAAAAATAAAATTTCATTTCAGTGTTTCCTTTCAGGCTAAAAACTGAGTATATTACGTATCGTTTCGAATACGGAAATGCCCAAATCTACTGAAAGACTGAGATCAGTGAGCTATTAACTTGTTTTAAAAATGTAATATTTTATTTATAAAGGTTTGTATAATCTCGTTGTAAGTATTCAGGACTTAATTTAGGTCAGTAGCTAAGCATATAACGCGTGTGTGTTTGAATTGATCAGTAATGAGAGAAAATCAACACTAAGATACAGGTAAATCCATCTGACGGGTATAGAATACGACGGAACGAGTGTCTTAAGTTCTACTGCTTGTTAAAATTCACACTTACTGAAAATCGTAATATATTAAGCAAAATCAAGAAATTCACATTGGAGACACATATAACAATCAAAACGGATAGACATTCAATCCTGTTTGTCAACAAAAAAGATAATGCAAACCAATACGGATTATAGTCATTTATTTAGAGTCATAGTCACTAAGGTACTAGATTTATTTTGATCGATAGATATTATGACGATAAATATACTTCTGCTGAAGGATTAAATAAACTAGGTACCTTTCCCAGAAATCATCAATGATTCAGATAACTTCATAATAATCTCATTATTATATTGGTGTAAAATATCAGAGAAGGATATTTAAAAAATATGTGTAAGAGAGAGAGAGCACGATCTGTCAGTACTCTCGACATAAAATAACACGTCATTTGGTTCTAAGATTGTCTAACTGAAGTGGAAAGGATAACTAAATATGTGGATTATCAGAAGGAGTTTTTATGGGTGCGGATTCGTGGATGCGCACCGTTGAGGAGTCCTATAATAGGACGAAACGGCCGTCAAGTGTTTTCAGGTTTTCCATAGTGGCGTAGCTTCGATTGACTCACGCTTTCAACTATAAATATGTGGATATTTTAAATAGTTCCAGATCCCATAACTCAAACAAAAATATGATGATAAAGTTTTAAAATAATACTTATTACACCCACCCACACACACATACATAGTAGTTCGGCAATAATTAGTTATATATATATATGTATTAATAAAAATAACTGACCTGTAATTTTGTTCGGATCATCCATTTCCGAATCAGATGTATGTGCTGTTTCAGTCATATTTTGTTTGTTTTTTTTACTTCTTGAAATGACAAGAAATATTAAAGATTTTTTTTATTTAGAAAACAAAGAAAATAATTTTCGAAAATTGATTTTCTATATATTAATGAGTATGTGTGCTTATCTCTTAATATGGTTATTATTAATAATATGGTTCCTTTAGTTGTATTTAAACAGTCCAGATTATCATAAATAATATTAACGAAAACGAAATGCACACTGATCCTCCGACCTGAATATTTAAACTAACTATTAGAATACAATCTAAAAAGTTAACTTTTTATAGTTAACTAGGGATATATTACACTAGCACAAATGATCAGATATGATACATTTATTTTGGATCAATCAGTGAATTCCATATTGTTTGTTTTTTGAAGATAGAACAATCAGGATGGATAGGTAGATAGACAGATAGATGAACAATTTCAACTGAATAGATTATAGTGCATATTTCATAGGAATCATAACACACTAGAAAAGAAGGTGAACAAATTATAAGCAACCAATCATTACATTTGTGCAAAAAAACACTTAAATGTGATTGGTGAGTTATAGTGCAGATGACTTTTGCATAAATAGAGTGCCTTTCACTTGTAATTATTTGGACAAAACAATAAAGGGCTTAAGTAAGTCAGTGAGATGGTATCGGGGATCTATTCACCATATGACAAATATAAACTGTGGGTTTTGAGTTGATTGAGACTAACTGAAGATTTACGAAAACTCATGACTAACACTGAACTCACTATTTTATTCACAAATTTTCTTGTTATAACTCTGATTACATTGGATTACGTAACCATGATTCAGATATCCAAATGGAGGCTATTGTAGAGTGCTCAACCGCCATCTATCTCGAAGTGCAATAAGGATTCGAATAGAAGTGGGTTAAAATAAGACTGGAATTGTCAAAAATTAAACATGATATTTATTGGTCAAGTTATTAACTGCCGGTATACTGTTTCGGAGGTATGGTTTCAAGATTAATGTAGTCAACACTTGGAGAGTTTTTAATCCTTAATATTTATTCGTAAGTTTAGGACTCCATGTCTACGATTTTACTATCATTGGCACTACTATTGTAATTCTCACTGCATTGACTTTTATCTGCAAAGTTGTTGTATATTGTACTGATATGAAGGGCAACAACTTATTGCATTGCATATTTATATCATTGCCAACATTATTTATGACAAACTGATTGTCTCAAAGAAAGAATGGAAAAATGTCAACTGAGCTTCCTCTTAATATCCAAAAAAATCGACAAATTTGATCGAACCAATAATGCACTTCCATTTATTGGTTAAATTGCATACCCACACACAGTCATCAGGTGATAATTACTACTTATTTAATGCTGTAGTAACATTTAACATCGTTTGAAATTTTCTCGAATTTATTCTAAATCATTGATATACATGTTGATGTACGGCCTGATCAAATATCTGAGCCACTTTTCCTTCAAACACGTATTTTTTTACCATAGATTTTCCTGTTGTATAACTGAAAAGATTAACTCATCTTATCTGTCAGCAACGAACGTAATTAAGCGCTCTCGTTAAGTGTTAACAACCTACGAGGAATCCACTAACTGAGAAATTCAAAGTATACCATCACTATGGTTCGGAAAATTTTCTTCCTTCTACTACTCCTCCTCCACTTCTTTCTTGAAAAAATGATAAGCAAACATCGCAGAATTTAAATATCAAATATATTTAGAGGTGAAAAGAGATATCACAGGCGCAAAACTTATTGTAAATATTCACAATAGGAAATGAAAAGTAGCTAATCACTGTCTAAAATCTCTTTGCACACAATTTTTAATACTGATGAGTTAAATGTCTATTAAACGAGAACTTGGTTGCAGTTTTCCATAAATCACGTTAGTGATTCCTTAATGTAATGAAATGCATGACTAAAGGAGCTAATTATTGTCACGTGGAGACAGGTATCTACCTCAGACAATGGAAGATCGTCGTGTAATTTCGTGGATTGGTTGAAGTTAGACATTAACACAGTTGGATCATGGATCAGCGATCTACAGGTTAAGCGTTCGCGGTACTGGGTTCGAATCACACGTGGGGGATCGCGAATGTGCACTCCTGAGGAGTCTTGTACTAGGACGAAACGGCCGTTCAATGACTCCAGGTTCTCAATGGTGGTCTAACATCGATCGATTCATGATCTCAACCAAAAACTTAACAATCTCCACAAGCCCATACTGAAAAATGCATGATATTGAACTAAACGAGTATTATTACATCCTGTTCATTGTAAAATCTGTAGGTTCTGGGCTGAATCATTCCATAGAGAAAAAGTTACTGGAAAGTCTTAAAATATGGCAAAAAAGCTTTTAAATTTTCCCACTGATTTTCAGTGGTCCTCTTGACCTGAAGTTAATCTTGATTTTAAATACTTTCAATTTATAGTCAGGTTGAAGACTACCTGCAACTTCTAACCATTGATAGTGTAACTGGCTTTTCTATCGTTTTGACCGCAGGTCAATATTGTTTTCTGAATCGCGTTATAATGAATAAACTAACTGTTACAATACAGGTAGAATGACTGCATAATTGAGTCTTTATTTTGTCCGTAAAACTGATCCTTGAATCTCCTAACGAAATAGATTTCACTGAAAAGTACTATTGATCAATTGATTGGATGTAACATCCAATTATTTAATCAGCATTTAGAACTGAGTTTTATTTGTCATTTAGCTAAATGACCTAATCATGTGTAAAAATAAAAGATGTGCATTGGTCATTAGCTTTTCAGTTAGCCTTGTAATATAAATGTCAAGATGAAATAGATAACTAATATTGAACTTATTCATGTAAGTACAAAAAGATTCATTTACGTAAATAGTTGAACTTACTTAATTGAGTAGTGTACGGTGATACGTTTATTGTGATGATATTTGTCACAGCTGAGGAGTGGTTGAGAACTGTAGAACACTAAACAATTACTGGACTCAACTAAAAGTAATACTTTGCTCACCAATAACTAACTTGAGAGTAGATCACCTAAGCTCTAGAGACAAGTTGTGATCTATCGGTGGAGCTCAGTCATATCCAGTGTAAAACAGCTATCACTGATAACGATCGAAGTATTCGTTGAATTGAGTAAAGTTAGGAATCTCAGGTATTTAGTGTCAAGTCAATGGTCCAGTTGTATAGTGGGTTATCAGTGATATATGTGGGTCTCTTAAAAACTTCTTGGGTTGGTGATAATTCCACACAGTTGAATGGTCCTAAAACTAAAATAACATAGCACATCCTTACTGTCTGATTTCCGATTATTGCCCATTCGTTTAATGTAGGTTTCAATGTGTGTCAGTCCTAACCTTAACATAATTCATATTGGTAAAATGAAGAAAGATCTAACACAATGGAAAAAAGAACATATAGTTGGAATAATAATAATAATAACAAAGACAAAACAATAAACGTTAGTTGATCACTGAGTAGTGGCCAGTGTCATGTTTGTCTATTTTCTAAAGCTTATTGAAATACATAGGTCAAGCCGTAGTGCGGCCACTAATCTAAATAACTTGACATCGGATCCAGCGAGCTTTATTGTTCAGTTGTTGGACATACTCAAGGCTTTGTTGATCGGATTCTATCAGCTCTAAGGACTAGATAAACATGTAAATTGCTGCTCACTGATCAATCAATATAAACGTCTCAGTCCTAAAATGAAGACATTAGCAACCTAGGTTTTTTATTGATGACATTCTAGGATTTCTGACTGGCTAAGGCGATTGTAGTGCGTGCTACTTATACGGGCAGTTATAAGTTGTATGTATCGGGAGTCGTAAGTAGGATCCTTACTGATAGTAGAGGACGATAATTAGGAGGGAAAGAAAAACAAAAGCAGTCTGAGTAGCATCAGGAATAAAAGAACGATAGAGCTTGTAAGGGAAAATTTAAGGAAGATGTGCATACAGTGTATTTAATGTATTTTTTTTCATATTTTACAGATGTAATGTGTAATTTGCATACTTCAATAAGTTGGTCTACCCTACTTGAATCTTCATTCTTTAAACGTGTTCGGACTTTATGGAATAAGTCAGTCTCCTCAGTTTTGTAAATATGTTGTGGTGATAAGAATCGACTGGCATTAAGCCTCTAACTAAGGTTTCCTGCTGAAAAAAAATGAATTAAGTTAACGAGTAGAAAAGTGTGGTAATCCTAATATTATTAATACTGTCATTTACGATTTAAAAGTAGATAAAGAGTAAATAAACAAGTTTGTGCTACTGCAATCGATTTTGGATCATTTTATTTAACATTTTCAAACGCAAGTTACAATTTTCAAGTGAACTTCAATCAGAAAAGATTCATCTCTCTTCAGAATTACGTCCAAAAGGAATGCTTTGAAAAATGTCTCCCACCTATGTATGTTATCAGTCTTCGAAAACTACGTTTGACAATCATAAACTAGTGCGGAATGAACCGTTGTTGTGCATACTTATCATTCGATGAACAAATAGGTATGTTAATGGTGTCACACGTATTGCTAGTAGGCAAGATCCGTGAGAACTTTTTATTACGAATGCTGAGATTTTCTCAGTCACTCATCCATCAGGGTTAAGCGTGGACATAATATGATTTAACTTTTCTTATAAAGATCTGTAATAACCAGGATTGTACTATGAAAGTGAATTACGTCTTTCATTGCAAAATTCAATAAAGTCAGTCTTTTCGGCTGGAGTTATCTGCAGTCGTAATTTGTAATTTCGACAACCGTCCTCATGTCCAATCAGGTTCATATGTTATTGATGGGTTGTTCACCGATTTCGCTATCTATATAAAACATGTTTTTTCGATGATTTAAGAATTTCATTTTTGCTACGGATGATTCGATTTGCCCAAATTTACATTCGTTGTGCTTGGATTGTGTGAAGTGGATTGCAATTTCTTCTCTTTGTAATCAGTGTCAGGGGTACTGCTTAGTTACAGGTGTTGTAATTGTAACCAAAGTATCAATCAGTTGTTTTTAGGGTTACCTGTTTCTTTTCTTATCATCATTGTTATCAGATTCCAGTGTTTCTAAATATTGATTATGACCTCATGAAGTACTAATAGTAATGAGCATGTTATTTTAGTTCACAATTTTTAGTTTAGACGCTGTACCAAAGTATAGAAATTAGCATAAAGTGACAATTAACAGCAGCAGAAAAGTGATCTAAGGAGTTAATGATCTTTTATATAACAAATGAGCAAGTCAATCAATTATATTTTCTTGATCTTAACCCTTTATGTTACCAGACTATATTTCGACTTTCAGAATATTTGGGAAATTCTTTTGATTCTTATTGTCTTTCAGATCCACAAATTTGCTACTGTACATGAAAATTTTCCTTAACCCTAGGACCAATTACTAACCTAGCTTCTGCATTGAAGC